CAGTATCTTCGCTTATACTTTCTTCTAGATTTCTTTCTCCGTTTTAGCGTTCGAAGAACTGATCCTTTTGATATTTTTGATTTCACTAATCGTGTTTCATTGTCGCGACCAAGTATACATTCTTCAACATAAGCTAATCGCCATTCCTGTCATTTCAGATTATCAGCTCCAATTAGTACATCACCAAGTTTGAATTCCCTCTAGAAGAACTTTTTTGACGATAATTTGAGTTGTCCCAAATATTCGATTCTGAATCTTTTCCGAAGGTGAGTTTCATTCTGTACCTTATTTGTCTTCTCAAATCTGAACTCTCTACAGCGACTATATCTGGAACTCCACATCCTGAAATTTCCTTAAGAAACATAACGGAAGTGAATGGAACAAGATCTTTACTCTCTACATGCAAATAAGTGAGAGGCCTTGAATTCAGTATAGATTGACAATCACAAAGGATTGTGAGTAATTTCTCATAAGTTAGACTGGCTTCACCTAAGACTTTTTGAGTAAATTTTTCATGATATTCGCTCCAACAAAATTTGTACCCTTATCGCTATATAAAGTTGTTGGTCGTTCTCTTCTGGCTACAAATCTTCTTAATGATTGTAAGAATACATCTGTAGGAAGTGACGATAGGAGTCCCAAGTGGACAGCTCTATAAATAGCACACGTATATAAACATAACCAAGCTTTTTCCCAACAAAACTTTCCAACTGAGAGTCGTTGACCCCTTCGGAGGCTTACTTCTGCAGAAATTTTATGATGCATTTTTCCGCCAACTCTATTTCTATCAGAGACAGTTTTCCATCAAAACGTTTTCCACTCATACGGCAGTTTACAACACATCTTCTGATCCAACCAAGAACTCGAATAATTTTAGTGAAATTCGAAATTCGTTCATAATACCAGGAAAAATCGACAATCGATGATAAATTAGTTGAAGTACTAATCCCTCTCTCAGACTCGATTATCTTATCGTCTCTGATGTAGTGTTGACTGGGCCAGTGTTTTTGAGATTTCTTGAACCATCAATATCATCTCTCCCACCATTTCGACTCTAGGTGAACAACCACATGATGGAATATCTGCGGGATTGAGATCTCCAGGAACGTGATACCAATTATTTGGACTTGTCAAGCTTCAAATTTCTTTTACTCGGTTCCAAAGAAGAAGTTTTCATTTTTTATCATCTTTATTCCAAGATCGGGCTGTTGTAGAATCAGACCAGTAATAAACAAACATATTTAGATCTATACTATCCGTGACAGTTTTGGATAATCTCGCTCCTATTGTAGCTGCAAACAATTCCAATAAAAAAATGGTAACTTTTTCAACGGGAGATACTCTACATTTGGCTTGTACAAGTTGTACAGTCACTTCCTTGCATATTTAAGATCTCATAAATATGATTGTTGTGTAAGCGTTTTGACTAGCATCACAAAAGACGTGCACACTGCAGTGAAGTTTTCCCTTAGTGGAATCAAACAGACATCTAGGTATTTTCAAGTTCAAAAGTATGGAAATTTCTTCAACCCACTTGAAAAAACTGCTTCTAATGTCCTCTTGTACCTCAGTAGTCCAGTCTATTTTCAAATTCCACATCTTCTGCAATAATAATTTGAGACAAAGAGATACTGGACATGAAAAGCCAATGGGATCAAATAATCGATGAGCTGTTGATAAAATTACCCGATTTGTAACTACTTCTGTGTCGATATATCGAAACCACTCAGAATTGAGTTTGGATTTCAATAGAGCCCAAAACAGGAGAAACCGTGGTATCAACTGAAGATTCGTCAAAAGGAGTGTTCTCCCATCGTCTCAGATCAATCTTCGCTGTCATATCAAATATAAGCCCAAATGTTGAGAAGCGAAATCTCATCAACAACGAAGGTATAAACTCAATCAGATTGATATCTTTCTATAGGCACTGATTTAGAGAAGGTTTTTTTTTTTTTTTGAGCCGAAGCATCAAAAACTGGGCAAATCTTAGTGGTTGTACTGCTTCCTTCCACCACATGGCGATGGGGTAAGTAATGACCTTCTTTTAGTAAGTCTGACTCAGGAACTCCTTCAATAATTTCTTCAGTTTGCTATTCTCTTAAAACATGACTATATTGGTAACGATAACCATCTGATTCAAGTTTTTTCAGTAGAGAGTAATCGTCCAAATAGGAACCTTATTGCTATAGGTAATAGACGCAATAAAAATAATAAAAACATCTTCATACTTACATATCCAAACACCAGTTATGTTCATATAAAACACTAAAATATCTTAAAAAGGCCATCGGAGATGTTGACGTCCATTTTCGAAAAACACAGAACAGATATTTTTCATTCGATGAATTTATTATAAAATGTTTTTTTGATTTTTTAAATACCTACTCAGATGGAATACTTTCCAACAATGAAAATAAATAATGATTCATAACTTTAAAAACGTTTCTCAGTGGTATTTTACTTCCCGTGAACAAAAAAAAAAGCTTTTTTGCTCATCTCATAGCATAATGTGCACGATGCGGTCACTAGCAAATTGTGTGTTCAGTGTGTGTGTGGGTGTATGACATTTTCCATATCCAGTTAGTAAAGATAGTTTCTGCCTGCCGACTTTCAGACTCATTTACAATAAATCCAAAACTCACAAGGAATGATAAACTAACATAATATTTCAAGATATTTGCGACACACTGATTTAGAAAAGTGGAAATGTTCTTATGGATTTGAAGTGAAGAAAAACACAATTGGAATTCGTTTTCTCATCTATAACTTGATTCATTTAGTCCAGAATATTTTTTCAGATGCGAAAGACGAAAATGAGTATAACATCACGTTGATTTACGTTGATTGGCGACCCTGCAAAGATAATTGAAAAAGTTATACTCCGTCACTTGACCGGTAGGTGGCGCTTTATGAGCAGTATGAGCCAAGCAAATTCAGTTCGAATGTTGAATAAAAAAGATCTGTCGTCACTAGTTTGTGAAATAGTACATTGAGCTTACAATTAAGTTATAACTAATACCTATTAGATCTCCCTCGTGACAAATACCTGTCACGGTTTACTAGTCTATCAGTTATTTTGTTGACAAAAAAAGTAGCATCAGATGTTATTGTGACATTTGAATGTCACAAAAAGATTAGACGTATTTGATATTTAGTTAGTTCGCTAGACCTCTCCAATTATTTGTATTGTATTTTGTTATAAATATTTTCTTTGAGAGTTTATAAACGTATTCGTGAATTGTTTCGAAATGTGCCTATCTGAGACCCAAAGAATTGAAATATTGATATCACTTGGGGTGGGTGATAAAACAAGAAGACAATCTTAGGTATGTAGAATATTTAATGAGAAGTATCCTGACCATCACATTTTCCAGTCTACAGTGAGTAGAACAGAACAAAAATTTCGTGAATTTGGAACTATCAAAGATCTTTCCAAAGCTGGGAGATCAAAAATTAACAACAAAAAATTGGATGTTCTATTATCTTTTGAGAAAACCCCGCAGACACCTACAAGAGAAGTAGCTGGTGATAATGATATATGTAAAATTTCTGTATTGAGAATTTTGAAAACACAATAAATACCATCCATATGAAAATCAACTACATCAAGAACTGAATGAGGATGATCCTGATCATAGATTAGAATTTTGTTTACCTTACATTGAACGGTGAACGAGCAAAATTGTCGGTATTGGAGTACGCAAAATCCGCACTGGATGAGGGAAGGTCACACTCAGTATCCTACTGAAGTGAACGTTTGGGCTGGCATATTGAATAACAAAATAATTGCACCATATTTTTTTAAGGGGTCAAAAACTGGGGCTAGTTACTTGGATTTTTTACAGAATGTTTCAGTTTTCCTGATCGTGTTAACACCGCAGATAATAATAGAAATATATGTTTTCAACAGAATGGAGCTACACCACATCATGCAGCAGCCGTACGAGATTATCTGAATCAAGTTTCTTCCCGTCGATGGATCGGCAGATGTGACGAAATTGAATGGCCAGCCCGTTCTTACGATCTGATTCCACTTGATTTTTTTGTGTTGTTATTAAAAATAAAAAAAATTACATGAGGAAATCAACTAATATTAATGAACCAAAACACCGCATCAAGTAAGAAATCTATTAAATCACCGCAGATATGTTGCAAAACATTGTCGAAGAATTTCTACACCGTCTGTTTTTTGTCAAGAGATGAACTGTTCCTATTTTGAGCGTATGCTTTGGACTGTTATATTTCAAATATTGTTGAAAGCGTTAAACTTTATTTCGTTCAAATTGAACAATTGAATTTTTTGTTACCAACGTCCAATCATGAAAAATACCTGATTACTGAACACCCTTTCTAATGAGGTATCATACGCTACCTCTAGGTGGTCGATGGGTCTAGGGTCTAGGTCGTCGATGGCATAAAATTCATTAATTTCTTTCAGGATTTTTTCATTTGCATTCATAATAACGTAGAAAATGAATTCTTCCGTTTCTTTAGGACCACACTGTATATGAATTCACGTGAAATTCGTTGAAAATTAAATGACATTGTAAGAATTATTGAAACTGCTTTAGATATTGATTGCATTTGAAAACATATTGCATTTTATTACCTTATATAGTTCAGTTCAATGAAACTCTTTGAAAAATATATAAGTATTGCTCTTTTATGTTCACTGGAATGAAAAGTATATTCTTGTGCCAGCATGCCTTATTTCAACTTCACAAAAAGTCTGTGTGAAGATTTGGCAACAAGTACATGTACCATGTTCTACGATGTTTGCGGAAAATATCCCTACAATTTCTACTGAAGGACTAAGTAGCTCAAAATATCGTCTATTATATAATATTGGATAAATATAAGGATTGTATGGATTGAAAACGATAATAAATTGATTTATTTTATATTCTCAGTGGTCGAAAATTAACAAGTTTGATAATTCCCATGAATTTTGGATACGAAAACATTTATGTATAATGACAGTATATAATAATGAAACTCACCTTCATCATCAGTAATAAAGTATTGAACACTATCAACATCATAATAAAATATTCGAATGGTGTCGACACGACGACCCTCCAAATCTTATACTTAAAGCTATTTCGCTTATTTGGCATATACCTCTCTAATGGACGAGCTTGTATGGTGAAGTCTATACAGGATTTCTGAAAAAAAATTGGTATCAATTTCTTCTGCATAGATTTTGGTTTCAAGAAAAATTCTATTCAGTTGAAGCGGAACACTGAAACACTCCCTTTATCAAAAATCAACCGTTTCTCGATATATTTCAGTTTTTTTTGTAAAAATAAATCATGTGCATGTCCAATATAAAACTTCGTGCTACGAAAGCTCTACTTCGGACAGTAACAGTAACTAATTATTCAACCGCTCCATCAAGATGACAGCAGTACATAAAGGGCCCTTGCATTATCCCTAAGGAGCAAATAAGTGAGTTTCAATGTAGCAATTCGGATAATTCATCATTTCCTGAATAGAGTCAACATATTTTTCTTGAAAAGTCTACCGCGAAAACAACAGGTGCTTGCAACAAAATTAACCCAGAAACATTTCATAATGTAAGAAATTAATATTCATTATTGTTGAGTAGTGAATGATATGAGCATTCAGTGGGTTTTGAATACATTTTTTTTTGGAATGATGATTATTGTTTTGTTTGTTTTTCCTTTCTGTTGGAAGATTGCTCGCGTTGAGCATATTCTCAAAAAGGGCAAGAAAAATATTTTAAATAGATAACTATAGACCAGTCGCTTTGCTATCAGTGATATCAAAAAGCATAGAAGAAGTCGTCAACCACCATATCCTCAAATATTTGAAAGGCTTCAACATCTTGACCGATCATCAGATCATCAAAGATCAACAAGCGACCTTCTATCGTATGTCACCCATATTTGGAATAACGCAATCGAGAAACATGGAGAATCAAAAACTGTTGCGCTTGATATTTCTAAGGCTTTTGACCATGTGTGGCATGAGGGTTTGCTGGCTAAACTTCGATGCTATTGCTTGTCAGATCATTTTTGTGTATGGCTCTTCAGCTTCCTGAAAAAAAGTTCTCTGAAAGTGACCGTCGTTGAATATTTTTCGAATACATTCACCATCAACGCTGGTGTTCCCCAGAGATTCATATTGTTTCCAACCCTCTTTTTATTGTATATCAACGACTTATTGGAGAATACCACGAATCCAATATATTGCTTTGGTGACGACAGCACACTTGTCTCGTCATTCCATTTACATTCCAGGACGTCGGCTACGGCGAGACACATCTTCACCGGCAGGAGGAGGTTGCATATCTTAACAAGGATCTAGAAGTGATTTCGAATTGGGGTGAAGTAACCAGGTTCAATTCAGTGCCACAAAAACCCAGGAATTGGTTTTCTCCAAGAAGGTAAATGTCTCCGAACTGGATGTAATGATGTCAGGTCAGACAATTTCGCTTTCTGCATCGATAAGTTTATTCGAGGTTAAAATGGACACCAATGTCTTGACACAATCATGTCGCTGGAATTGCAAAGGCTGCTTCTCAAAAGCTGGGAATACTGTTGCGAACCAGAAAAATGTACACACCTCAGCAACTTTTGATTATTTGATGTTCTCATGTATGGAGCTCTGCCCCCAAATATACCCTGAAGTTGCTGGATTCCATCCAGAAAAGAGCCATTCACCTGACTGGAGACGCGAACATAACGTGCAACCTTGAAAGCCTGGAACATCGAAGAAAGGTTGGAGATTTTTTCCTCTTCTATAGATACTTTCGCGGAAAGTGTGCAAGTGACTTGGCACATTTGATTCCACCAAGAGCGGTACATATCAGAAATACGCGACAGAGTGGAGCTGCTCATCGTTTTGAAGTTCAACTCAGTACACCTCCAATTTCACTGTTAGAACTCTTCTATCTGGAGAACTGCGTTTGAGGGGAATGAATTTTTTGAGAACGTTCCAAATGGATTTAATCTCCAGCGATTCAAATCCAATGTGAATCGCTACTTTCGCACAGGCACCGCTCTGAGATCGTCTTAAGGATTTTGTTGTAGTGCTTGTGTTTTGTTCTGATTCTCAGAACTGATATCAAACTGACAGTTGAACCGGTTTTTAGAAATACTCGTAAAGAAGTGTTGGACAAAATATTGAAATACCTATTGAACGAGGTAACATGGGATCTCCCTTACAATTATAAAAAAAGTTGGAATGATGCTACTGTCTTTTATATCACAATTGATACCTTTTCACGAAAATTTCTTCTGACTTTGATATCTTGTCCCATCCAAAAGTTGAGAGGGAGAAAGACCATTCATTTTTGTACTGTATAGAAAAAACTATGTGATAATATCAAAAATTTTAACTTACTTGGTTCTTATCGATTTCGCCACTCTGTAATTCCGCTTCACCCTGTTCTTGAAATGTAATGATGATCAAGGCTACGAATATATTTACAAAAAAGAAAGGAAAAACTACAAAATATACAATATAGAAAATAGATATCTCTATTCGAAAATTCTGTATTGGGCCTTGATCTTCATAAGTGGCAGCCATGGAGTTCTGAAGTACCCTACAAAAAAATAATAATAATTAATATTTCAACAATATGTTCTGCTTGATGTATAAACTCTGAGTTTTAGAATCCGTCTCATGTCCAATGAAGTACGTAAATTGTGTATTTCGACAACCTATATTTCATTGTCACATTTTGGAATACTTATAATCTATAAATCAAAATTCAATTTCATGAATGCCCGAATATTTTTTCCACAACCAGGAATGTGTTTATTAAATAAGGAGATATATGAACTTGAAAGTAAATAAAAAGTAATTTGAAATTCAGATAATATTTGAATAAACAATATTATTATGAACGACTTTTTCGAATATTTTTTTGTATTTGAAAATGTAAGGTTAGCATCATTTGCTAATTTTTCATTGTCCCTATATGAAGTTTTCTCCCGATTTTGATGTGTGTTATCTAGGTTTGAGATAGTGCAGAACTTTTGTTTTTTATTGAGCAGTAAAATTTTGTGACAAATATCGGTAATAAAAATGTTTTTTATTTGTAGGGAACACTTCCAGACACAATATAATATAACTAATGTCATGACTTTTATTCCAGGGGGTGTTTCTTTGTTTAAGCCTTTTTTCGTCTGTCCCGCCAGGTTCTCGTGAAGACACAATTTCATATCTCTAATTGCCTATGAGAATGGTGTTCTCTATACGTCCTATCACTTCTTATCAAATTTTTTTGAAAATCGATTGTTATCAGCTTACATCTACGCCAGATCAGCTTACATCTACGCTGATGGCTCAAAGACATTTCTCCTTTGCGGTTTATGTATTTGTTTCTATCTTCATGTGCGAACAGTTTAGTATTTCAGTATCAGTCGAAAATCTAAAATGACTTGCCTACATTTCACAAGCTTCCATTACAGCATGTTGACGATATTTGAGTGAATGAAATCAATTGAATCGACTTTTTTGAATAATATTTTTTTGTATTTTGAAATTTACGGTTAACACAATTGCTAATTTTTCATTCTTCTTTTATGAGGACAGGTTTGAGATCGTGCAGGATTTCTATCGAGGAGTAAACTTTTCTGACAAATCTTTGATGAACATTTTTAACTTTTAGGGAACAATTCGAGACACGGTAAGCGGTGTGTTTCATAATTGAATGCTGATCGTGAAGGGCAATAATCCTTGAATGATATGGACATAGGTCCGCTACCGCTTAATTTCTGAGATACTCGGAGAGTCAAGCGGCGTTGGAAGCTCTTGCTTCATCAAGAAACGTCTAAATTAGTAGCCAATTGCCAAAAACGACTCTTCTCAATGAAAAGACCTAACAAATTGTCTCTGGTCTGGATTCCTGGTCGTTCTGGCCTGAAAGGCAATGAGACTGCTGACTCCCTTATAAAGAAGGGTGCTGCAAGTAGCTTCATCAGATTAGAGTCTGACATCGCTTCAAGCGATGTCAATAAGGATGACAATAAGGTTTATCGACTTCTCGCAAAATCTTCCAGGATTGGCTCACTCCAACACGTTCATCTACCCATAAAGCTTGAAACCAAACAATTATTGGACTACAGTAGGGATGATTAACGATGTTCGACAAGTTTTCTCACAGGTCACTGTTGTTGAATCACCACGTGCAGAGACGCGGACTATCGAAAGACAGTGTGTGTCGCCTCTGTTTGGAAAATGATGGAACAGCAAAGCACATACTTCGTTCCTGCCCCGCCGTTGACGTAATCAGGTTTCCAGAGTTTGGCAGAGCCGCACTCTTACCATCTGACCTGAAAGATCACTCACCATATGAACTAATCGGCTTCGTTAGGAAGCTGGGATTATTTGTCAGTCGGTGAAAAAAGTATTAATGCTCATTTTTAATATGGATACACAAAATACACAAAATCAATAAATAATTGAAACTCACAATAAATTAATTTTTGCGAGTACTGTATTAATAATAATATTTGAAATTGAGATTTCGATTGTGGAATCATCTTCATTTTGAGATCAAGATCTTCATCATTATATTTCAAAGTGAATATTGATTGAAAATTGTGTATAAATGACACCGATAGACATCTGTTTCAGCTTATTGGGCATCGTCAGTACCGGGCAGGTGGTCCTCGATTGAAGACAAATATGTGAATAACCAAGAAAAGTACTTGATGAAAATAACTGCGTCAACGCAAACGGGAAATAAGTGGAATAACTTACAGGTGTTACACCCAAGTCAAATTGCCAAATTTTTATGTCACTGTTGGTGGTTTGACCAATCAGCCGACAACTGCGATAGCAGAAATTTGGGGAACTATCCTGGAATGCCATCGGAAAATATGTTTGCTTGGAATATGTTTGAAAATTATGTTTAAAATATGTTTTCTTCCGTTAACCAGCTATCGCACCCCTATGAACGACAACCCTCAGAAGTCGAAACTTGTGCGAGCTAAGCACTAACGAGGTCTTACCTTACGAGTGATTCTTAACGGGTTGGACGGTAGCAAGTAAAAAATCGAGCGTTCAGCCTGCGCCTGGAACCATCGACTCACACATCGGCCCATTGACTGAGTGAACAAAGCACCCACGTCGAACCGCCCGGCTACCGAATACACAAGTTTCTAAAAATGATATGAAATCGAGAAAGGTTATTTCAGTCAAGCTGCATTCCAGGATAGCTTCCCAAATTTCTGCTACCGCAGATGTCGGTTGATAAAAACTTGTCAAGTTGATTTTGATGTAACACCTATAGGTGGTTTCACTTATGTCTCGCTTGCGTTTACGCAGTTATTTTCATCAAGTACTTTTCTTGGTTATTTACATTTTGTCTTTAGTCGGGGAAGATTATAAAGCGTATTTTTTATAGAGGTTTAGAACTTCAAGTTGCAATAAAACAACGATGGATTATTCGATTGACATGAATTTTATTTATCCGAAAGATAATCTTTCTCCGTTAAAAGATGAACAATTTTTTCATCCATCCCACCTCAGCCAGGTAGGGGTACACCGTGAAGGGCGGCACTGATATCTGAGGACATTCATGTCGCCATCCCATCATCAGTCATGACCCATTTGTCCCTCTGACGAACATCAGTCAAAAGGGTAAGGGAGCCAGGCTCCAACCTGTCCTAAACCAAGATGGCTGAAGGTTACATTTTCTCTTCAATCGAGGACCGGCGCGGCGGTCCGGGTAGGCAGTAATCAAAATGGAATCTATATTCAAATAAATACTTTACGTTCAGTTTCACACTTTCTTCAAATAATGACTGTGTAGGATATAAATGCGATTTGTTATACACCTAAACCGAGAAGATCTACAACTGAAAGAAAGAATCCAACTACTTTACTGAAATGAATGTATATACTGCGTTATTAGATGAATTGAAGAAGATTGAAAAGATGAAATTTGAAAATATCTATATTTGAATTATTTGGAACATCACAATTATCATATCTTGCCGGAAAAATATTCTCAATGTATTATTTGTTCACGTCCATATCATTGTTAATCGGAATAATCACTCTTCAATTATGTTTCTTTAGAAATGAACGGTCACTGCCGAAGTCTAAAAATCCTATAAATATGTTGTCCCTACACGGTTAGTAGGCAAATTGGGTTTGAAGTTTGGTTTCTTGAGGAATCGAAAAGTTCAACAACGAAATATCAGAAGCGGTTCGGACCCAATTTCCAAATTTTGAGTCTGTAACAGCAAATACTTTGAAAATGCTACTTACTGGGGCCAACCCTCGCCGGTTTGTACAGCAAACAGCGTCAACATTGCCATTGGCACATTATCGTAATGGAATTTTTGAGGTAACCATTCCCGTACGTCTACTTTAGGCACATCACTATCTTCTTCATATACAAAATACTGCCCCCTGAAAATTATTTTCATGAAATAAATGCTTAGCTTTCGAATGAAAATTCATCAGTTGAAAAAAAATCAATTCTGTACCGAGAGCGTATGAAACATAAAAACTCTCAATCAGAGTATAATTGAATAGAACTGGCTGATACTTGATGAAAATCCATATTAAAAAACTAATCAATCTAGTTTATTGTATGATTTTCACTTTTCAAGTTTATGCTTGAAGAAGTTATTGTACAGAGAAACACGTGTCGCCGTTTTTGTAAAACCCTTTTATAGTGGAAGTCATACAATAAACTGTATTGATTAGTTTTTTTCAATCAGAATAGTTGAAACTTTCGTGTATGTATTCTTCCAGTTCAAAATCAAAGAAGCAAAACTTGGGATTAGCGTATTTCATTTTTTCCAACATCAATATATTTTTTCAACTTGATGAAAATCGAGACAAAGAACTAGTGTCGTCTCAAGACTAGAGATAATAAAAGAGTTGATTGTGGAAATAATTCATTGGATGAAATTTCAAAGTCATTTTGAAAGTAATTGGAACAATTGCGGCAAGGAATAAAGTAGAAAGTTGAAAACATTATGTTTTTCTCTTGATCAAAGGAATTGTAATATATAAACATGACGGACAAACCTGGCTCTCTATACTACGTTGTTATTAACCGATTAGGCATTCTAATTAATTTGTTATCGAAAAGAGGGACACCTGTGTTCAGAATTCTCTTCTATTGGGCAATTTCCAAGCTCCTCATTATCATTAAAAACTTCAATTCTATCATGTGGTGTGCTAAGGATTGACTCCTTCACATATTTCTTCAAAAGGAATTTGAAAAGATTAGTGCAAAATTCCACCAGATCGTCCGTCACGTATTGTTATGCTCTGATGGCCAAGAATAACTTGATCAGGCCTATTAGCTTGTATGAACCTGAGGGTGGGGAATGAATAGTTCCAATAATTGCCGCGTTATGACGAGGGTTATAGGCTGAGACCCCATATACTGGACATGTCGACAACAAGTGCATTAGGGTATCAGGCGCCTTCTCGGCAATTTCTGCACCTTGTATCAGAAACCTCTATACCCATCATGTGACTGCGATAGACTGAGTTGTTGAAGACGTCATTCTGACTGGAAGTTATTATTATTATTATCATCATCATCAATAATATTATTATTATATAGAAGGATCAATGAGTCTTGTTCAGAGTCTTGTTACGATCCATAGTGTATGTTTTTTTTAATTCACTACATATATTCTTATAATGTATAATATATAATGACGAATGGCGTATAAAAGAAAATTGAAATTCATATCCACGGTCCGAACTTTTAAAAATAAGTAATGATTCACCCTGAACAAGCTTTGTTTTTCTGGAAATGAAAAGGAAAGTAAAAGTACCTAAATTGATATATTATATTTTCAGAAAAGAATAATTTTTGGGAAGGAAAGGTTTTGGATTTCTACTTCTCCAGCTTGATATAAAAAATGTAGGAATACTGTGGATGATATCTGATTCAATTTCATAACGAATATTTGGAATACAAACTGAATAGAGAATCGTGTTTTTGTATGATCTTTTTTGCATGATCTAAGTATAAATTTTTGTGAAGTGTAACTTTTTTTTGTTTGCAGATGAATGTTATGCAGACCGTGTTTTAGAAAGACGTTTGAATATAAGTGCTCTTAAAAGTGACCACTATGGAAGTCATCCATTTTTCAAATATGGTATGGTATGGGGTCGACGTACACGTTTCTAATGCCCCAACGAAAACGTATTTCAAAAGCCATTGATATGCAATGTAGAAGTACTAAAAAAAAACAAACAATTGCCAATAGTATGGGAATTATATGAATTAATGCGTAATATTCATTTATAATGAATCAACATTTGAAAATGATAAATATAAACATGCATGGATATTCTACTGAAATAGAAAACCGATTTCATTATTTCCCAACATAGGTTGAGGTAATAATGGCAGCAGTATGCAAGCAATAAATTATATAGTCAAAAGAAATGAATTTGAAAAATGAGTATTTTATCTGCTTTGTGATATTGAACCTTATTCATTGCGGGCTTTTTATAATAAAATTTCTCAATAAAATGTCTCAAATTTAAATTTTTTTCCAATGTGCATTATATCTATTAAGTATGTTCATGTACGCATGTATTGTAGAATAGATCTACATTAGTAAGATATAACTACCTGATATTTTACATACAAACATTTTTTTTATTCCTTGAATGTATTTCTTGATCAGAGCTCTGCAACTGTGTGAACTCTGAGCTCCAATGAAGTCCTACTATCTATATCAATATATAGCTACTTAAAACTGTTTCTGAAGAAACACTCTGTATATGATCATGGTATGTAGGCTTTTACTGCTGGTATGGTACTGGTGCGTTTTTACTTACAACAGGACTGGGTACCAGAGGGCTGACTGCTCTTTGATTGGTCCGACCCTTCTTTGTGTGAGAGAATCTTTGTGTTATGAAATGCCGGTATTCATTTCTTGTTGATGGAATGATGATATCTGAACAAGCATAATTCGAGTCAGAAGAGAATGGTTATTAAGAATCTAACAATCTGGTAGAGAGGATAAGACTTATCTGTGAATTAGAAAGGCTACGATAGTCTGGATCACATGTACTCGATTTAGCTCTTTTTGGTGACATTTTTCAGTCCTGTCCAAAAATTACGACCAACGTGTCATTCGATTCGTATTTTTGCCTAGAAAGTTTGAGGAAAGGTCCGAAAACGCGCCGATAAAAATTAGAAAAGTTATAAACAATTAGGTGAAAAAAAATGGGGCTTTAGTTTTTTCTTAATATCTCGGAAAATTTTCAAAATTTTGGAAATTTGAAAAAAGATT